CCCCGCGTGCTTGAACGCCTCACGCTCCCTCTCCTCCTCGCGACTCTGCCAACTGCGACTGCCTCGGTTTCGCTGCCCCTGCCCGGATCCGCCGAGAGTGACGACTACCGCCGCGCGCTCGAAGCGTTGGCAGCGCTCTGTCTCCACCCCGACCTGTTTGAGATCCTCGTCCTCCGATTGCTCGCCCGACTCGACGAGACCCTCGCCATCTCTGCGCCGCCTCGCACGTCCGAATACACCGCCGCGACCCTGTACGCGCACCACGTTCTCGCGACCCTGCGTGCCGTCATTCAGCAAAAGATCAAGCAAGGTCACGTCGACGTGGCGAAATATGTCGAGACGTTGGTCCCGCGACTGAGCGCGATGGTCATCTTGCCGACGACCTTCCCTGCCGCCGCCGGCGGTGACTCGTCAAGACCGGTAGCATGCGATCCGAGGCTCGTACTCGACGTTGGGCGCGTCGTGAACCTGATCGTACAGCGAGTTGAAGCCGAGTACGTGCCCATGCTCCCTGGTTCTCTGCCACGGAATGCGCTGACCCCAGTCGTGTGTGCCGCAAACAGACGCCAGACTGCGCTCTCACTCGCAGTCAACGAAGCCTTCCATCGCGGAAACTTGCAGCCGTGGCTTGGCACTGCCGCCAGCGGTTCCGGTCCCGTGCCTTTCCGGCCGTTCGAGGTGCGTTTGCGCGGTGAGACCGTCCGGAAATGTCTCTCTCGCTCTCATTGACAGCCGCAACCTTTTCAGAGTTCGAGTCCGACCACGCAGCGAAACCTCGTCGCGCTGTTCTCGGCTCTTCTCCTGGCGATGAAGCCTGCGGTCGCGCTACCCGCAGCAGACTTGTCGGTCTTTTTGCGATCTTCCCTCGAGCGGACTCTGTCGGCTCAGAACGAAGTTCAGCTCGCCGCGACGGTGCACTTGCTCGGCAGTACCGTCAACAAACGTGCTCCAGGTACGCTGTTCTTGCGTGTCTTCCGGACCGGTCTCGGGTGCTCACGTCGCTCAAACGCAGACCTGGCGGACTTTCTCGACTCTGATGTCGAATCGCTTTACCGTTCGACCATCGCGAGTGCGTCGGCACCAGCGGCGCAGCGACGGTCGGCACTACGCGCGTATTCTTGGGTATGCTCCGAGTCGAGGTTGTTCTGTGATGCGACGACAGCAAGCTGAATACCGTTCTCGGGGGCGTGCAGATCGCAAAGGGCCTCATTGTTCGGTCAGATCAGCGCGGCTATGCCATGATTGAGCACTTGCTCGCGCTCTTCCAGGACGCCGAGCTTGCCCCCGCCGCAGCCGCGAGTCTTGGCACGATTGCAGAGGAGAAGGACGGCGTGCTCAGCAAGGAGAACGCGGCGGTCATCCGGGTAAGCCGAGCGACCACTCTTGCATGTAGAAAAAACGCTCCCCTGCTGACAAGTCCCCGAGTGACAGCTTCTGTACCGTCAGCGCTTCTTCACCTACTTGCTGCCGAAACTCGTCGACCTGTACAAGACGTCCACCGCCGATGGCGACCAGAAGAACATTTACCTCGTCGCGCTCTCTTCCTTGCTCCGACACATCCCGAAACAGCTGACATTGACGGAGCTGCCCAAGGTCAGTCTACCGAGTACAGCGCAATGTCTCATACTTTGTGCTGACACCGGTACGATGTTTTCATTCAGCTTCTCCCCCTCCTCATGACTTCGCTCGACCTGCCCGACGCCAGTCTCCGCGCCAACGTGATCGACGCGCTCACTGTGCTCGTCAACGATGTCCCTTCCGAGCTTGAGAACGCGATCAGCGGCATCACCACGAAAGTTTTGCGCGGACTGACCGTCGAATCTGGCGAACGGGATACCCCAGCGGAAACGGTCAGTGCACGGTGTCCGGTTTGCATTGTACCGTGTGCGCCCACTCATGTGCTCGTCCAACTCCACAGAAACTCCGCCTCGCCTCGCTTGCATTCCTCTCCTCGTTGCCGGCTCACATCCCCTACCTCGTCCTGCATTCTCAGAAACCGACAATCCTGAGGGATCTCGGACGGGCACTCGACGACCCGCGACGGGAGGTTCGCCGTGCCGCGGTCGAATGTCGGAGTCAGTGGTTTCTGTATGCCGGCTGAATTAGACAGCGTTGCGCAATGAACGCCTCGCATTTGCAGCAGATTTTATTCGTCGCCGTTCCTTGCCTTCTGCCTCCGCCCCCGTCCTCTTTATTCAGCATTGCTGATTGCGCAATGTCTAAACACGAGGTGCGTCAACGCTCGGGGAGTGCTAATGTATGTACTCCGCTCTCTGCTGTCGCGTGAGATCACCCTACGCACCTCGCTCTGCTCCGCGCATGCTCCACCCTCTCCTGGTTACTTCGATCCACCCTGCGCTCGAAACCGCCGCTGATGCGGATGCCGGGTCAGCGAGGACGACATCTGTCTTCCTCGCATCGCTCTACTTCAAGCCGCCGCATTTGATTTTGCGCTTTCTAGCTCCGGTCTGACCGGCTTTCGTCATTGTCGAACGCTGTGCAGACGTCCTCCGTGCACCGTATAAACATCCACTAGCTGCCAGCTGTCGGCTAGGCGACGACGAGAACATCGATGAACATGCTCGTCCGCAGCTCGCCCGCACATGCTTCCGCCCGCCTCCGCTCTATGTCGCATACACCATGAGGCAATCAAACTCTGCTCGTGAGTCCCTCCGCCGCTGTCCAGTGAAGTACCGAGCTGATCGGCAGACCCTCCACCTCCACTTCCTCCGGAAGGAACCTTCGCCGTGACGCAGAGGAAATGGACGGCACCCGTCCGTGGAAGCCTTGCTTTGCTTTCTGCTCTTCCACAGTGCTTGACTCAGATCGTCAACCTTCTCTCCAACCCGAGCACTCGCTACCATGTCGCAACCCGAAGTTACGCCTCGCCTCGTCCGCCTCGCCGACGACCTCACCGTCCCGCAGCTCGGCTATGGAGCAATGGTGCGCCGACTCCTTTCCATCCTTGATGAGTGACTCGCTAATTCGGACGTTTACAGGGTTTGTCGCAATCGTACGGCCCGGCAAACGACGACACTTCGAAAGAGACTCTCCGCCATGCGATCTCGATCGTAAGTAGAGTAATCTGTCGCGGTCCGGAGGATTGTCCACTTACACGCTTTGGTTCTGCAGGGCTGCACTCTGTGGAATACGGCAACCGTGTACGGACAGGACCAGCACAACGAGAAACTGCTCGGTCAGGTCCTCCGTGAGGAAGACAACCGGAAGAAGGTCACGCTCGTCACAAAGTGGGGCATCAAGAAGAGCGACGAGGGAAAGCTTCTGCCTGACGGTGAGTGCATCTTGCGGGGGATGTGAAACCCTTACTTAGTGGGCGGTTACTGATAGCACTCGAGCGCGCGCCTCTTTCTCAGGCTCGCCGGATTTCGCAAGGCACTGCATTGACCAGTCTGTCGAGAACTTGGGCTCGGCTCCGGACATCTGGCTCTTGCACCGTATCGATGTCAACACCCCGGTCGAGGAATCTGTGCGCGCCATGGAAGAGGCTCGGAAGGCCGGCAAATGTCGATTCATCGGTCTTTCGGCGGTAAGCTTCGACTATCAGGATCGCGAGTGGCGACATTCATTAACACTTCGCGACTCTCGCAGATGAGCGCCAACACGCTTCGCCGCGCTGCCAAAGTCACCAAGATTGACTTTGTCGAGATGGAGTTCTCGCCTTTCGAGACTGCAATCGAGGTGAGTCTCTCCGGTCCGGAGAGACGGTGTACCTGCGATCTTACCGACCCTTGGTCGATGCTTCAGAGTGACGGAGTTCTCGAGGCTTGCAAAGAGCTCGGCGTGTGCATTCTCGCGCACTCGCCACTCGGCAAGGGAGCTTTGACGGGCAAATTCCGGTCGCAAGCCGACTTCAAGCAGGCAGGCGACAGTCGCGGTACCGGCCTGTTCCCTCGCTTCGCTCAAGAGGCGTGGGAGCAGAATCTCAAGCTCGTTGAAGGTACGCCAAGATCCTCGCGTTGCAGATGTGGGCTCGCTCGCTGAGGCAGTCTCCTCTTGCAGCTTTCGAGGCCTTTGCGAAGGAAAAGGATTGCTCGCCGGGTCAGCTCGCGCTTGCATGGGATATGCAGGTCCATGGAGACCTCATTATCCCCATCCCCGGAGTGAGCAAGGTCAACATCATGTCCCGTGGCTCGATTAATTCACTGACGTGTGGTGCCTCTCCAGACCAAGTCAGTCAAGTATTTGGACGAAAACTGGGCTTCCCAGAACGTCGAGTTGTCGACTGAGGATCTTGAGCGGATCCGCCGCATCATCAAGGAGAACCCGGTCAAGGGTGAGCAGTACTCGGAGGCGCTGAGCAACCTCGTCGACCGGTCTTAGACTTTCCGCCGTAGTCATCTATAGAAACGGAGATTCATCTGTCGCTATGCATGAGCTCTCCGAGCCTGAAAACCTTTTTCCCAGTACACGAGTGAGCAGGTCAATGTGGATGCCGGATATGTGAGCCTCCGCAGAACCTGGACTCCTGGAGGGCGCACTGCGGACGAGTCCGCCCCAGTGCGGCGCCGCATAGGGGCCCCGACGAACGAAGCTCGACATCTGCTGAACCTGAAACCTATATCGCGAAGCCTCAAACGCACTGCCGGGCTGCCGCAGACTGAGCCTTCTCACGTCTCATGGTGGCGGAAGTTGGAACCCTCAGGCACTCGGCGTTCCCTTTCCCGCTTACTTTGGCTGTGCGCGAGCCGGAGTCGCCCAGCCTGACGGTGTTTGACGTTCGTTTGAAGCTCGCGGCATGAAGCCTCCAGTGCAACTCGCCAGTGGCCAGAATTTTCCACAACTCCGACCAGCTGAGCTGCTTTAGCTTGACTGGCGACCGTATGCCAGAAGTCTTACATAAGCGAGCAGGCAACTTCCGCCATCCTTGTGTCCAATAAGGGAGACTTGCGCGGTCAAGCCCGGGGGAGGAAACTGCTCGCTCGAGTTCAGCTGCCGGGATGAATATATACCGTAAATTTGACCCCGTTGACATGAAGCCTTCTTTGGTAGTATAGTGGTTAGTATCCAGCCTTGTCACGGCTGAGACCCGGGTTCAATTCCCGGCCAGAGAGTCCTATTCTTTTTTTGTTGCCAGCGCGGTGGCGCGGAGTCTTTTTGCTTGCCCAGCCTCTTTTGAGGCCTTGCGGGTCAGCGGGAGCCACTGTCCTTGCAGGGAACGTATTGCCCGAGTGAGATCCGCTTTGACTACGATTGAGCCAGAGAAAGTTAACAGCTGGACATTCAGTCGCGGCTGAACTTCAAGTGGTGGCATTCCCCGTCCGCTCGCCAGCCCGGAGGAATCGCTGGCTAGACAGGCGCGTTCTGGAGGACTGGCTACGCGTGCTCGTGCGAGAACCGGAGTCCCATTGTGTGCGTGCACGGATCCCGAATTCGCAACTTCGGACAGATTCGCCGCCGTCACGCTCGTCCGCCCAAACTTGCACGCACACACGACCGGAGGAGAGGCAGATACGCAGAGGGCACTCAGTCAAGGTGAGTCTACCTGTCCCGCTATCCATGAACGCACGACTTTGCTCACCGCGGCGTGCCCTTGTTCGTTCGTCGTTCCTGTCCTGATCGCTTCTCGTCGCCCGTGAACGCCATACCGCCCGTCGGTCACGGTGAAATCGAGGACAGCACCATACCATAGTCGTCGACCCACGCACGCCGAGACCGCTGCTGGAGAGAGTCGGGTCGGACAACGCACCGCCTCGACTGCTTTCATCGTCGCACTCGGCACCTACAGCAATCCGCCTACCTGCCAGACGAGCTTAAGCCGATAATACTTCGTCTCTAGAGCTACGCTCTCCGAGACGCGCGCCAGGGCTGACTTGCGCACCCGTCGACATCTCCATCATTCAACCGCATTTCGTTCCGGCATACGACCAACAGCAGGGCAGCTGCGCCATACGTGGAATCGGCGGCAGCGCGGACGCAGAGATGGGAAGGAGAGCCAACGATCTCGAGGAACTCGTGGACGAGACGGCGGTCGCGGCTGCCACGAGGCGCTACGCTACGCCGTTAGAAATGTCGAGGGAAAACTCGAGGACCATGCACGATCTTTCCTCGACGCCCGGTCCGCCGCCTGTCTCGTCCGCGTCCACACGATACGCTCCTTCTACTCCGACACCGCACAATCATCAGGCGTACACCCTCGGCGCCCCGACCCCGTCCACATCGGCCCGCAGCTCGATCTCGTCCCTCTTGCCCCGTTCGCCGTCGCAGACCAGTTTCGCGTCCATGTCGTCGCCGCCAGCGAGCATGGAGCGCTCTCGCTCGTCCGGGTCGACCGAATCGCATCACGGCCGTAATCATTCTCTCACGTCGGCGTACGCACCCGCGACTTCGATCACCCTGGGCACGCCCGGCGCGTCGCGTTCTTCCGATGTCGACCCCTTCTCGCCAAGACTTCCGATAGGGGATGGCCGGACGACGCTCGCGAAGTCGCATGACTGGAACTACGAGGCAGAGAAGCCGTATGGCGATGACGAGGACGTGCGCCAAGGGGCAAAACGGCGACCGAGCACGCAGATCGGACTGGTCGGCCGAGTGCTCGATGCACCTCCGAACCTCCTCGGCTCCCTCACCCGGTCACTTCGCACGAAACCCTCCTCATCGCGTTCGCTCACGTCAAGTGCGCTCAACGGGTCGCCTCTCAAGGGCGTCGATTCCAAGAGACGAGCGCCGCTCGTGATTCGCCTCGCCTTCATTTCCTACCTCGCCTTTTCGTTCCTCTACCTGACTTGCTCATTACCTCGACATCTCTTCGGTGGCTCCGATCCGGCATCTCTGAAGGACCAGGATGGGACCTTTGCTGCGCTGCGAGCGCGGTTAGCTTCGGCCAGCAGCGGCGAGGCAGGCGAGAGCTGGCGAAATCTGGCGGGCGACCTCGGCGCGAAAGCGGGCATCGACCTGCCTTGGAACAAGGGTGCAGCAGTCGACAGGGCGGACGAAGCCATGCCTGTGCCCGCGAAGAAGGCGGAGGAGGCGCACGAGCCAGAAGTGGCGAGCGACTCGTGGGGCAAAGTTCAGCGGATAGGGAACCCCGATGGTACGTGCCTCCCTCCCGCACGACAGCACCGCCCGCTGACACCAAGTCTCACGCGCAGAGGAATCGACGGCGGCACGAGATCCGCACAACAACCCGCTCACTCCCTTCACGCATACCTACCGCTTCTCAAAAATGCACGACAAGGTCCACTGGGACCTCTTTGACGAAATCATACCGTAAGTCATGCCGACCAGCGTCGAGCTCCTATCAACGAAACTGACAATGACGTGCCTCCACTCAGCTACGCTTTCCATGCAACCGCAAAGGTCTCGCCCGAAGATGCCACCGCCCTTTTGTACTCGAACGACGCCTGGCTCGAGACTCTTCCCTCCTTTGTCAAGGCCTGGCGCGGCCCTGTCTCGCTCGTGTACGAGACTGTACACTCTCGACACGACACCGAACGCCGCACCGCTCTACTGGACGCCATCTCCGCCGTGCGAGACGCGCATCCCCTCGTCAAACAATTCGTCGACTTCCACGTGCTCGGCGCGCCACAGACCATGTCCGAGCGGTCCCTCGCCAAAGCCCGCGAGCGCATGATCCGACAGCCGTTGGCGCGCAACTTTCACATCAACCTGGCGCGCTTCTTTGCCCAAACCGACATCGTCCTCGTCGCGGGAGATGCTCGGATCACTCCTAGCGGCGGTCTTCGCAGACGGCTCACGGAGCCGACAGCGCGGTCGATCCTGCTCGAACGAGGAGACGCACTCGTCGTCCCGACCTTCGGCTTCATCCGCGACTCTCTCGGCCAACCGAGCCAGATCGCCACGACCGGCCAACTCCGCGAACAGCTCGGCTTGGACGGGTCGGAAGACGCCTACGCGGGCGTGAGTGGAGAAGAGTTTGAGGCTCTCGCAGCGCAGCATATCCGCGAGCTGTACGAGTCACTGCCGATCTCGCCCGAAGACTGGCCGACGCGTAAGCAAGCGCTCGTCCAACTCGTCAACACGCGCTCGCCGACCACTTCGGTCTCGACGACGGCTCAACTGGCCCTCTTCGATCGTCGATGGGAACCGAACCGCGGACCATCGAACTGGTACCTCTGGCGCAAGTCGTCGGCCGATCCCCACCTGCAAGACGACCCCGCCGCCGGCGGCGGACTCGGCATCGGCCTTGACGGGAAAGTCGGCGGCGGTCACGAACCGTACCGCGTCGTCGACTATGACCTGCACTATGCGCCGCTGGTCGCGACGAGTCGGAAGGGTCACCCGTGGTGCACGGAGCGGTTCGACGACCTCCGCGCGGCATGCACGTACCAGATGTTCCTCGCCGGAGCGGAGATGTACGTGCTCCCCGACGACTGGGCTTACACCCTCGAAGTGCTCGAGAAGCCTCCGGCCGGCTACCGAGAAGACCCCGCCGAGAAGCTCAAGGTGCGTTCTTCTTCTGGTGACCTTTCGCGATCGCCTCAAGGTTTTGCTGATTCCGATTCGGCTTGCTCGCGCAGAACTCGATCTCGAGTCGACTCTACGGCAAATTCCATCAAGAGGCGTGCATGCACTATGGTCGCGAGTTCCTGTCTGTTGGCATGTGGGACTCGGACAAGGCTCAGCATCTTCGGGAGACGTGCGCCCGCGTGAGTCGCTCCGAGATTGTTCGACACCTGTCTCTCATCAAATTGGTGCTGACGAGATTTTCGCCGGCAGACCCTCGGCACCTGGGGTATGGGCTCGGCCTAAACTGCTCCATCTTCTCCTCCTTTCGCCTTTCTCTGCACAGCCTTTGTCCATACCCTCGTCTGTTTCTTCCATCGTTCGCAAATTCGCATACCACCTCGCAAATCTTTTCTTCCTCCTGTTTCTCCTTACATCTCTCATTCCTGTGACCTACTTCTGCAGTCGACGCTCAGATTCCCCTCCTTCGGCCGCAGGTTGGCCTGCTTGCATAGAACCGTGATACCCCCCGCTTGCCGTTCAGAGACCCCCCATTGTCTTGGATTCCTCCACCTTGCAATCAAAGCAGCTGTGCTGCTCCTCTTCTCCATCTCGCGCCAATCAACGAATACCGACTTTAATGCAAGGAAATGCGAAATGGTGTCGATGCTGCTCTAAAGGTAGCCCTCCCACGCTTTCGAACCCGCTTCGGATGGCTCAGACCGTCCTGCGAGTCCCCATCGCTCTTTGATCTGTGCGCGCAGCGCCGCAAGGCGAGGATCGCCGCCACCGAACTGCCTCTGCAACCCTCGCAAGCGACTCCTGTAATCGTCGCCGTTGACGTAGGCACCGCAGAGGCGTCGCGAACCGGAGAATGCAGAACGACCATGGAGGACTCGGAGGTTGTCAAAGACTATAGTTTTGAAGAAGGGGTCCAAAGTCAGACCGAGCTTTTTCGGACGCCGGACAGGAGAGGCGAGGCAGGGGGGGACGTACTGACGGCGGTACCGACTTCCATCTTGCTCCACAGCTGAGCCTCGTCGCTCCGAAGGATCCCTTCCCAGGTTCTCAGCGCGTCGTACCACCTGTCCATCGTCTCTCCTTCGAAAGCCCCTCCCCCGCCGCCGACGACGCCGCGGTCGTCCCCGTTCCACCGCACCATGACGAGCTGTCCGTTCTCGTCGTGATTGAAGACGGGGTACTTGCGCAACGGACGCATATGCACGCCTGAGGGCATTGACGCCGAACCGGAACCGGAAGCGTGCGAAGGGATTGGCAGATTCGAGAGGAGGTCGTAGTGCTCGGGGTGTTGGTCCTGCAGCACACGAGCGGCACGGAACCCGTCGACGAGGAGGTTGTGGCCGCCGGTGTGAGTAGTCGATGGCGAGAGCAAGTGGAAGAGCTGCAGGCCACATGGCTACACGGTGGAAAGGAGGGTTACCCGTGAGCTTCAAGACGCGCCGGAGTGAAAAAACAGGAGGGCTCACATCGGTGAAGTAGGTCGTATCGGTATGCGCCTCCAACCTCACTTCGGAGTAGGCGAGGTCGCCGTGCTCCAGATTGGCGGTAAAGTCCCAAAAGCCGCCATAGTGCGTCTCGCGGATAAAGGCGATCCTTCGAATCAAGGCCTCGGTCGCTTCGGGCGTGC